CTGCGCGGCCGGAGAGGGCAGTGCGAACCAGGTGCAAGCCATCGATGGAGTTGAGTGTACGTTATGATTTGTTTGAGGGACCGCGAGTGGACGGGGAGTGACCTCTCGCCGACTCGCGACTGGCCGCGTGAACTTTGTTTATTCCTTGTGTGTTGATTTAGACTAGGAATAGCTTTCTCCTAGGTCCACGGTAGATTACGTTTCGCGTTTCTTTATCATGCGCCGGGAAGTCGGACGACCCTCCGACTTCGGGGCCATCGGTTTCGCGATATTTCTTCGGATGATTATAAAAAGACTTGGGAGGAGGATCTCGCGAGGAGCCGACCTCGAGTCGAGGTGGCACTTCGATGTGCCTGCGGATCAATTTAGAATCGCCGCCTTGACGAGGGGAACGTTTCAGGATTTTCAGCTGTTTTTGGCCAAGCCTTCCACTACCCTGGGGCCGTAGTGCGTGCTGGGCTTGACCTTTCTTTCTTGAAGAAATTATGAAATATCGATATCGAGTAGAGTCAGTAGCTCGTTTCAACGATGTATAAATTAATCAGCTTAGGATTTTTTCAGCTTCTACGACGGTAAGTGCCTTTTCTTGTGGCCGCGTTCTTTGCTGGCCCCCACCCTTCATCTCCTCCAGGAGCGAGTCGATCGGGTCGGGGCCAGGAGACGTGGTAAACCGAAACTTCGCGATTCCCTTCGATTGCTATCCGCGTTTCGATTGCGTGAACAAGTTTAATTTTTCTTTCATTCAATTGGCGATGGCAATCGGAACGTATGAGTGTGAGAACTGAGCTCAGGGATCGGAGGCATCCCGGGATGCTGTCCCTAGGATTAGGTTTTTTGTCCCCGGGCGGAATGAGAGAGAACCGTGGAGTGAGTGTGTTGGAACGAATGTGTTTTTTCTTTTAGATATAGCTAGGGAGGTAGGTCAGTTGTCTTGAGTAAATGTTTAGATGTAAGCAGGCAGGGCCAGGGCGGGATCTTTTTCTGGGGGTTTGGGAGGAGATCCTGAACCTGGGGTAATTTTCCATCGTCCACGCTTCCGGAAGCGCGGACGATGTCCACCCTGTGATATACCCGCGATTGTATAAATTTTTTTTTTCAGCAATAAATTTAATTAGACCGCGCTTGGGAATCGAATAAATGTGCAATACGCTCGAACTGCGCATCCTCGGATCGCAGGTCGTCGTTTTGCTAGCTTTTGGATCTCCCCGCGAGTGATTTTTTTTTTTTAATTCGACAAATCAGGGGATTGCCAAGCGTTCGAGACGTAGGGGGCTCTGCCCGAAGAGACTGCAAGAGTCGAAGAGGCTATATGCCGAAGCGGCCCCTTAAGAAGAGGGCAACTACGATGGTCTTCCGTTCTTTCGAACAGACAATCATCCGTTTTTTGGCCACGTTGTCCCTCCTATTTTTTCTATATCACTTTGTCAGGATTGACGGAGAAGAGACGGCGAACGATCATTTCAATTATATTTTGTCGATTCTACATTTAAATGGATTTTTTCTTAGTGACATGGAAAATACCAGTTCAGTCAATTTAACGAGATCGATCTACCATTAATATTCTTGACTTTTAGAAACTTATTCGCTGTCTAATCTCAGCCTTTCTGGATCTTTTTGAATGTTGTTTTGCCTCTTCTTTTGTGCCCCTTTCCAGATTTAGGTGTATCACAACAGAATCCATTTTTTTTTTCAAGTCATCATTCAAATCACAACTGACTGCTACACCGAGTCTATCTTGGAAAAGCAGTTACTCGATTATCAAATGCATAAAAAGGAGCAATATACAAACATGTCATAACAAAATATATATTTTTGTCTCTGTACATTTACATCTAGTTGTACAAATTTTTCCACATTTTGTTCTAATGATTTTAATTCTTTTTTTTATCTATCGGTTTCTTATAGCGTAACATACACGCGAGAACAAAATTAACAAATCATGTAACAAAAAACATAAATATTCCTTCCCGATTAAGATAAATGCAGTGTATATACACGTGACTTGTACTACAATACTTCCGTAAGAATTAAAAATCATTTATATTTATTATTAGATAAAACCTTTAGACAGTCCCTGTTTAAAAAAAGAAGTTCAGACCAATAGTATAAAAAAAGTGCAGAGTGGTAGCATAAAAAAAACTTTTGGCAGTAATCCAAAGAATTAAGTTTATTACATTTGAAAGAGGGATTTTAGGTCTTCCAATGTTAATTTTGCTCCACCTGTGCTACGAACTCCGCCCAAAACTCCTTCAGCCAATTGTAGTTTCCTTTCTTGTAAAAGTTTGATTCGCTCTTCAATGGTGTTCTTAGTGATGTATCTGAAATAACGAATTGTTTCGTATAGTTTCTCATATGTTTGAAATTATAAACTAGACTTTGATAATTTCTTACTTATATATGCGAACATCTTTCGTTTGTCCAAAACGATATATTCTATCTTGTGCTTGAGTTTCTAACTGAGGGTTCCAATGGATATCAAAGAACAGTAAATGATTTCCGCCTACAAGGTTTAGCCCTACCCCGCCAGCAGTCAATGACAAAAGCAAAATCCTTGGGTCACTATCCGGATCATTGAACGAGTTCACAATAGCCTAGAAGATATAACATAGGATTTAATTAGTTTCAACCTATAACTCTATCACCCGTGTTTTGAATAATTTATGATGACACTTACTTGGCGATTTTTAACAGGAACGTCACCGGAGAAGGTATTGTACGTTGCACCTTTTATGGAGTTTAGATGAAATGCGATTACCTTAAGTAAACTGGTCCATTGAGAGATTACAATAATTTTATCGTCCGTTAATAAAATTTCCTGTATTTTCTCCAGTAGCGCTCTCATCTGAAATAATTATACCAAGAGATACCTTCATATGTGATGGAAAAATATACGGAGTGAGTTCTGTAAACGTGTAAGTAGGAAATGTAATACAGACCTTAGCACTCTGCCGTTCATCACGAAACACAGGATTTTGAGAGTTGAGCAAATCTTCCTTGACTCTTTCATTGACACCCATGTCTAGATCGTCTAGGTCGTCGATGTCTTTAAATGATTCGTCAAGCTTGATTTGATTTATTTTGTTCAACAAATCCGTGTCGGGACCTTCATCTGTGAAAGAATTTTGTTCCACATCCGTCTGGTCTAGCATCGCATGAACAAGTGGAGGATGACAGCACACTTGTCGTAGTCTCAAAAGTAGGACCAGAATTTCGTGGGTTTTAACGTCTGCGTGATAAGCGAGCAGCTGTTTTTGTGCTTTTGTGAAATGCGCATTTTTATCACCGCCTATAAAATTTAAATTAACTTATTCGTGTATATTATTGGAGGTTTAAAGGTTCCGGTACTTACGATAGCCCGAGGACAGGTAGTTGTCATACATTTGCCTCATATGGTTTTTTTCTGCACGTTGCGCTAAAAACTGCGCGAACAGTGTGCGAGAGTATATTAATATTTTCTCATAGACAAGTTGCTCATCCGGGTCAAGTTTGATTTCAATTTCTTCGATATATTTGACCGGTAATGACTTTAGGTCTCCCTTATCTTGTAATTCTTGTTTTGTTCGCCGGAGCATTAGAGTCTTCATCAAGGTAGCCAATCTATCGTGGCCGGAAATGCTTTTGTTGTCCACCCATCTTTTCCAAACGCGCAGATCGTCAAATGGTGAACACTTTAGGAACTTTAAAATTGCATAAAGATCCAGTTCCTTATTCTGAATTGGCGTTCCAGTCAGAGCCCACCGTTTATCTGCCATCAATCCGCATACAGCCTCGGATACTTGACTTTTAGGATTTCTCACAACATGGGCCTCATCGAGTATAACTCGTTTCCAGTTGATCTGTAACGATTAATAATAATTATTCTATTGATATTAATCCGCAAAAATGTAAATGATATGTACTGGATTGTCCCATAAGTTCGTTCCCATGAGTACTAGAGGAAAAAGATTATTTTAAGATATAACATTCAATGTATTTATTACATTAATTTTATACGTATATATAAATTTAATATCTGCAGTTTCTTGATCCCTTGCTTGAAAAAAATTATATGATAAAATGTTTAATATGTCAATGGCACGAACTTATGATCCAATCCAATAGTTACCTTGTAGAGAGGCGAAGATTTTTTAAATTCACGAGAGAGCAGATTGTAAGTCGTGATTACAACGTCGAATTTGGCCAGTTTTAATGGTTCGTTTTTACGATTAGTGCCATGAAAAATCTGCACGGATAATATTCCAGGTTTGCATCGATTTAAAATTTCGTTCTCCCATTGCGACAGTAAAGACGCTGGGCAGACAACAAGAGTACCACCGTTAATGTCTGTCAGGAAACAAATATACAATGTACAGTTTACAATAGATGAAATAGCTGAATAAACAAATAATAAAACCTATATCATATTTTACATTTACGCATCGATTGTTACGCGCATTAAGGTTTTAAACATGTTCCAGTGAAAAATACGAGTACTAATTAATATTACTACGCGAATATTTGCATTTATACGTACGCGGTCGTTTTTGTGCTGAAAAAAAGTAATTCTCTTTATTGTTACTGTTGTCCTGATCCTGGGTCGTCATTATTAACGAAATCATGGTCAACGTCTTTCCTAATCCCATATCATCAGCTAAAACCGATAAGTATTTTTATTAATTTTTGTGAACACTCGAGTATTCACAGTAACAGTAAAATCTATTCTGACCCCGTCGCTGCGATTAAACGTTGGGATTAAATATTCAGGGTTCAAAATGTAATCTACTGTTATATTTACGTCATTTGATTAAAAAATATACGAGGGAATTTAACGGTTGATAAGATATTATGTTATAAATTAAAATTCATTATGAGAAACGTGTTTACCTAATACTCCACCTGCTGGTATCTGGCTTTCCCTCCAAAGTAACCAGGCGAGTGCATGTTGCTGATGTGCCATTAAAGGAACGGTTAGTCCATTTGGATCGTTAGCTTTTTGGTCCTCGGTAGGACGAGCAACCAACGAGTCGTGTAAATCTTTTATACGTTCAACCGTTAACGCCAGCTCACGGTCGTGGGTCTCTTGGGCCTTTCTTCCCAGCGGCTTCCCTAAAGGTGAGTTTAGTCTTTCCCGTGAATTTTCACGTGATCTTAAATCCATTGATTCCTCAATCTCATATTTAATATCAGATTTTTCGATGGGTGATAATTTAAATGAGCTTGCATCAAACGAGTGTTCCTTTGTATCAGAGAACTTTTCGGATTTCGGTATCATTACGTCGAACTTCAAACTGGATGGTCCCGGATTCTGAGCATACATTCTTGTATTCTTTTTCTGTGATGGAGTTAAATGAGTTTCTTCCAGTTGCCTTTTCAGTAATTTGAGTTCCTTTTCCTTATTGGCAATGCTTTGTTTTAATTTGGCACCTTTGTCGGGAAGCATTTCAATAAGCGCGGAATTCAGTGTGTCCTAAGGAATAAAAACATATGTATCCAAAAGCTATTAAAACAAATTAATCTCAAAATTACCTTCAAGTCCTTTAATTCTTTTCGAACTTGTTGCGTATTACATAATAAAAGAGCGCTTCTTTGAGCTGCTATGGCATCAATATTTTTGACGCCAACCTCTTTCAATGCTAAAGACACAGCAACAGAGGATTCATAGCTTTCGCTATCAATAGGAGGCGGTAACCCTGCAAAAGCACGGTAAATATAAATCTAAACACATGTACATGAGTTATTTATGTACCATTAGTACAGTTAATATACTGATAAAAAACATATTTGCAATGGCACTTTCAGTTAATATCATAAACTAATCTGAAACTGCTAGTTCATTTGCTTTTCTAAAGCACTTAATTATTTTGATTACACTACTATGAACCGTCCTACGGAAATAGAAATTAATTTTTTTCATTTTGTCATAAGATGTAGATTCCTTTCCATGCTTACGATCGTGTTCTGATTCACAGGAGTCAGTTGGTGGTGTTTGTGGTTCAGCTGTAGCATTATCTTCTTTTCCATTGCTATGTTCTTCTTCAGAAAAATCACTTGCTGATGAACTTGTAGCACCCAATGTACTGTCTATCATCACATGATCATCATTTGATTTGTATGGACTAGTTGGTGTTGTATACGATTTTCGTGTTGTTCTCATTTTTGTTATAAAATCACTGTCTGATTCATAGGAATCAATTGGTGGTGTTTGCAGTCCTGCTTGACTGGCCATATCCTCAGATTCTTCCAGGAAAGATGTAACGGGACTTTTTCCGTTTTTACTGGACACACTGTTCTCGTTTTCATCGATTTCACTTGATGTATCACTGAGAACATTCGTTTCCTTTGTTAAAAGAGCTTTACTATGTGATTCTATTGATTTGTAAGTTGTTTCATTTTCGCTATCATCATCCGTTGAATCATAGATTACATTTCTTCTTCGTTGGCGTCCAGGTTTTGGACTTAACATATTATTATCAATTTTCATATCTGTCAAAGTGGTAATATATTTTACAGTTAAAAAGTATATAAATTTATTGTCTTAAATTAAAGAAAACTAAAGATTACCAGTGTCATCCAATGAAAAAGAACGACTAACTCGAGGTTCGCTACTGCTAATTGATATGTTAATACTATCTTCATCAGAATCAGTAGGCCTCTCGATTCGTTTTCTGTGTACAGAAAAATTCATTTTCTGTATATCTGTGAATCCATGGAATCTGCACAACTAAGAAATGATAGCATTTCTTAGTTGTGCAGCAGATTCCATGGATTCATCTCGTTTGTTTCTAAAAGATTTGAAGTTAATTGTACAAAGATTATGGTTTTCATATAGGATAGTAGTATGACAATAAAATTAACATAAAAGCTCACCGACTTAATAGATGCTGGGTTATAGTTTCCTCCTCATCGCTATCAATTATCGGTGCTAAGTGATGGTGAGAAGTTGTATCCTCGTCATCGCTATCTGATATGAGGGTAATATTGGCATCCAATGATTTTAAGGAACCTCGCTTATTTCTCCAAGTTCTGTCCATATTTGCTTTGAACTATCTCGTTAATAAATATATACATATATATTTATATATATATATGGATCATACGGAGACTTTTTACAATCCTAGTACATTTCATAATTTAGTATACAATATTATGATAGAATATTTTGAATAAACTCTGAAAAGTCCTCACGTTCTTCTGGATGAATAAGAAACCAAGTAATTAAGAAGTCATTTATGTTAGACCCTTTTTTTCTCTTCAATGTATGAGCGTTAACGATTATCCTGACCTTGTGCACCTTGATATATTTTCTGGGTGATCTCTATATTTCAGGGACTAAGACACCTCCTTTGTTTTCTTGTTTCTGTATCTGACTACGTAACGTGGCTTAATTGAATTAAAAACCGTTTCAACCGTTTTTAAAAGAATTTGCCCAATTCACCCATCAGCAAAACTCCACAAAAATGTTTCCCGCGTCGCTTCAATCGCCTTTGCTCCTTCGGAACGGAAAATTCAAACATTTAGGGTTGCTTTCCATGAAGATGCAAACAGCACGAATGACCTGTAAAAGGTATTCGTTTATTCAATTTGAAATCCACATATGTGGTGCCCTTACCGAGGAAATCTCGCATGGAGACCATGCACATACTCCATGTTGGTGCTTTAGCGATAGCGCTGCCATCTAAAGAGATACAGAACATTGTTTTAAATTGTCTCTGCAAGTGGCAGCGCTATCGCTAAGGAACCGACTTAGAGTACGCGATCTCGTGAATCTCAGACAACGCGGAAGCTTGTTAAATTGAAAACTCGGAAAACTTGACGTTTTACTACCTGAGCCAAAACTTTTTCAATTACGATATTTACATATGTCACAAATAAATGCTCATAAACATAATTTATAGATAAAATATACATTAAATTTTTTATCTTAGTTTATTTAGATAATATGACTGCATTGTAATTGTGTCTTTAAATCCATTCCCGCGCTTTATTCAAGTAGTGGTCCCTAAACGAATGCGGCGCCACCTAACAAAGAAAGATCTGTATCCGATTTTGAGGAACTTCTATACATTATGTTCTTTCTTCTGTCTCTAGTCTCCATGCATGTCCGTCACTGAGATCGCTAGGATACACCAGGATACTTTTTGTCCAATACCAAGGATGAGTGCTCTGGAGTTATAACTTGTTATAACTAGTTATCAGAGATATCTTTGTAGTTTTAACCAATGACCAACCAATCAACCAACCAACATTTTAGGTTAGGCATCTTTACCGGTGATGTGTTACTCCATTTGACTCATTTAAATCCATGTGTCTGATTATAGGTTTGTACAGAGATTTGCATAAATATGTGTATGAGTAGTAAATGCATCCTGTCCGTAATGTTTATTAACTTTTGTAATTAATACAGTTCTCTAGGTGACTTACTTTAACAAGGCACAATGTTACGAAGACAAGCCCGTCTCAGGAGAGAGTACTTGTACAGGAAATCCATTCAAGACAAGTTGAAAAACATTCAAGAAAAAAAGGAGAGACTCAAACGTAGTTTGGAAGAAAACATTCCTATACATCCAGATTTAAGGAAAACTGCTTTGCACTTGCAGAGAAAGATAGATTGGGAAGATGCAGGGCCAGAATTGGCAGCTGCCATGGGTACAGAGATGGGTGGTACAACTGGATCGCACGAGGATGACGAATATCGTTGGGCAGGTGTTGAAAACCCAAAGATTGTAATTACCACTTCTCGTGATCCTAGTGCTCGCCTGAAAATGTTTGTGAAAGAATTGAGACTTATATTTCCTAATGCACAAAGGCTAAATCGTGGTAATTATGAAATGAAGCAGTTGATTCATGCATGTCGTGCCAATGATGTCACAGATTTTATAATAGTTCACGAGCATCGAGGTGTTCCCGATTCCCTTGTTATTTGCCATTTACCATATGGCCCAACAGCTTATTTCACAATGTCTGGAGTTATCATGCGTCATGACATACCTGATATTGGAACAATGTCGGAACAATATCCACATTTAATTTTTCATAATTTCAAAACAAAGTTAGGTGAACGAGTTACGAGCATTCTAAAGTATTTATTTCCTGTTCCTAAAGAAGACAGTAAGCGAGTCATTACTTTTGCCAATCATGATGACTATATCAGTTTCCGTCACCATACATACAAGAAAATAAAAGGAAAGGACATCGAAATAACAGAAGTAGGGCCTAGATTTCAATTAAAATTGTATGAAATTAAAATGGGAACATTAGATAGTGTGGCAGCAGCTGATACTGAGTGGGCAATGAGACCATACATGAATACAAACTATAAAAGAAGATTTTTATCCGATGAAGATGGTTGGCAACAAGAGGATGATTTCTAACCTGTTATTATATTGTACATATATTAAAAGTATTATTACACATTTTCTACCAAACTAGTACCCTTTTTTGTTTTACCATACTTGCAATCAATCTTCATTAATGAAACTCTATCAAACCATTAATATTTAAAATAGACTAAAAATCAGTGATCTTTACTATTTAGAAAGATAAAATTAACAGTACTCAATAAAATAGTAATCATTTTTAATTTCTAATTCTGTGTTGGTCCTTTATATAGCGTTTTTGCATTTACTATTTTTAGAATCTCCTAAATCACTGCTGCAATTCAATCGTCATACAGCTTATTGTTGATGACTGCTTATTACGATTAGTTATAAGTATCGAACATTTTAATTTATTAGAAAAAGTACTTGTGAATACTTTTATTTATTTGTTGGTACGGTTTATTTTAAATATACGTTTACGAGATCCAATAATTAGGGATAGATCGAACCACTAGTCTCAAAAACCAAGCGATAAACATGAACGTTCTGTTTCCAATTGACTAAGGATGTTTGAATCTCCCGCGTAAACCTGAATTCAGTGCGCCATGCGTAGTGCATTCTGGTTTGTCCGTGGCAGTTGTTTTTAAATAGACGCATAAATAAATTAAACCTTGTTTACGCCTTGATCTTGGCGCGTGAAATAGTGAGGTGTACTTTGCAGTGTTTACGGGGATCTCAGATAACGACGCCGTGCAAAATGCAAGCTCATATTCGTAAGCCCGCGAAATCCGAGAAGGCCCCGCGGCGCAAGAAACTCCCCGAGCAGCTGAGCGGCGCAATGGACCTGTTCGTCTCTCCGAAACGTCAGAAAAGCGACGGTGAGAGACATTTCAGACCACATTTGGAATGTACTAGTAGTTCAGGTTTGTTTTGACGGCGTATGTGCATAGAAATATTTGCTTCTTATTGTACGATATGCCAGAATCTCGTAAAAATCCCTTGATTTCGACACAATGTTGAGCTGGCGTCGGTTTGGTTAGTAGCGCTGCATGACATAGCGGCGAGTAACGGCACATTTTGGCGCGGTTTCCAACGGTTTTTGAAAATTTCATAGTTTCTCCTATGAGAAGAGCAGGTGGCATTTATTGCGCCGCCATACCAAGAATATCACATCCCCTTTGAGAGCAAGAAAGCATTGCCGAATGGGCATCACTACTAAAAATAAAGCGATATAAGCTGATAATAATTACAGCTAACACAGACCATAGAAACTGTAGCCATTTTGAGAATTTCGTTCTACTGATGCATTTTACTCTTACATTTATTCATATTGAAAAAGTGTAACAGTGTAGGTATCAGACTATGTACCGGAATATTATGTTAGTTTCTCAATAGCTGTAAAACTATTTCATCGTGTAAAATAACTATGGTTTTACTGTCTCAATGATTCTTTGTTATGCAAGTGAATATTAAAGTGGTCGATCGATATTCATTTTTTGTATGTTTACTTGGTAGAACAATGGTTCTATTTAAGCCTAACTAGGGTAATAAACAATAAGGAATGAAAATGAAATTAATATTTGAATGCTATACAAATTTCATTGTAGGTGTATCTTAGTAGTTATTCATTTGTAGAAGTTAGCCCTATTGTTTGCAGATCTGTATATTCTTGTTTTGTACTACGGACTTACATGTTTTATATGACATAGAATATCTGTCAAGTCATGTTGACCCATCTTGGTAGTCTACTGTTAATTTTGCTAAAGTTTGAATTGTTAGTAGTGCAAGATCAGTAGCTAGAAGTTATTCAAGTATTTTGGACCCTTTTCCTTTGTTGGCAAGATGCAGTCTTCTTTACTTTTCAGATCTAGAGGTGACGGGAATTTCCCGCAGTGGACGTGTACGGAAAAAGTCCTCAAAGCTGATGGACTTTGAATCTCCCGATGACCTATCTGACAGTAAATTCAAACGACAAAGAGCACAACTGCAATCACAGCAGTTGCTCGACCGATTCGATGGTCGGCAGCAGCAAGTTTTGGCACAGGGACATTCCAATCAACATGGAAGTACTCCTCGTCAAAGGAAGAATTCAGGATCGAATGCGATGCAACAAAGGATTAAGGCAGAACCTATATCAGATAATGAGGGACAAAGTTCGGTATCGGACTCAGATGAAAACCCTGGAATGAACGAAGAAGAAAGATACAGTATGGATTCAGCAAGCGATGATGAGGTTGATCCGTTAATGATTGATGACAGAGAAACAGGATTTAGAAGGCTTGAACCACCTGGCCAAGAGACTCCTTCTCAAGCAAATAGCCTTTATATGCTTGAAAAGTGTAAAAAGAAACTAATTATCAAGGATGGAAAGATTATTGGTAGAATGAAAGCACAACGCAAAGACAAAGGGGTGTGTGAAAAATACCTTTAATTTTCATTACTTTCTATGTACAAATATCTAATCGTGACTTGAATTCTTTTCTTGAAGATCTTGTTTTCTTGTATAACTGTTATAACTTATGTGAAAGTATATTTAATTACAGAAAACCAGATTTACTGCGTATATGTTGTGGGCTAAAGAAATTAGGCAGGAATTGTCGGAGCAGTGTCCGTATATGGGTAAGTTTAAAGGCGTAATGTTTTGTAATTGTTTTTGTTCATTGCAACATAATTTATTAAAATAATTATTTTGTGTTTTATAGATTTTGCAGCTATTTCAAAGCGGTTAGGTGAACTATGGGCAACTGTACCAAATCTAGAAAAATATAACTGGCGCAGACGTGCGAAACGATTGGCATCAAAACCTTCTTCTGGCTTAAGTAAAGATGAATCAATATGGAAAATGCCTCCACCAGCGTCGCGTAAGAAGTTCATAAACAAGATTGGTTTGTACTTTATGTAAATGATTGTTCTTATTTTCCACTTAAATATGAATTATGTATAACATTTGATATGTTTGATGGTACAGGTAATGGAAAGGAAACTAAATCTTCTTCGAAGAAAACCATTCAACTAGGTATGCCATCAGTAGTGGGAAGTGTTCCTGTATCACCACCATACAGTCGCAGTGGTAAAGACCTGGTTAATGAACCTGTTATTGGTACTGGGATGTACAAAGTCGTTGGAACACAACCAGTCGACGTCGCTGCTCATCTTAAACTACTTGGTGAGAGTTTGACAATTATTGGAGAGCGGTTAAAGGAGCATGAAGGCCAAATAGCAGTTTCAGGCAGCTTATCGGTCTTATTGGACTCGCTGCTCTGTGCCCTGGGTCCTTTAATGTGTCTTACTCAACAAGTAACAGGTGTTGAAGGAGCTAGACCAGAGACTCTTTCGCAGATGTTGGACAATATTGCTTACATTATGCCTGGTTTATAGAAAGTGTATAGAAGATAAATGATTCTTCATGATAGTATGTAAGAAAATCAGGAACTTTAAGATATAACAACTTGCTACTTTAGATTGCTTCAACAAAAGATTGTTTATAGAAGCATCTAATTTGCAATTGAAGTATCTTGTAATATACTTTGACAAAAATACAAATGGCGTTATGTAATGTATAAAACATTGCAGTGATTGTGGTATCTTATAAAAAATATATGTTTTATTCAATAAATCATGGACTATTCGGCCAATGCCTTTTTAAAGTAATCAATATAATGAACTTTGACAAATATTCAATAATGATGGAAATGAATATTTACATACATGGATAATAAATTAAATTAGTGGCTTCCAATCATTGTTCAGGTAGAATAGGGGGACACGTACAAAATAGATTCTTGTCGCCGTATATATCGTCGATTCTACCCACACTAGGCCATATTTTTGAGCTGTTTTTCGTAAATGGCTGGGACAAAAATGATTATGTTATGAAACATATTTTTACATTGCATTAGGTGTTTTAAAATAACAAATAATGACAAGAACTTACCGCTGGAAAAGCAGCTACTTCTCGTGAATAAGGCCTATTCCATTCTGAACTGATAACTTGTTCTTGCGTGTGTGGTGCCATTTTTAGAGGATTAATATTTTGATCCATGTTACCATCTTCAATGTCCTGTATTTCTTTTCTAATATCTAAAACATAATGCAAAACTATCATTTATTAAAGCATAATTATTTAAAATGAAATAAAATGGCACTCCTACGGTTTTCTGTTAAAATATATTTTTCATACTGGAACGCATTAAGTAAAACATAATTGTCGTATGGAAACTTACAAATTAGTGATTCACAGAATCTGTCCAACTCGACTTTATCTTCCGATTCTGTTGGTTCTATCATAAGAGTACCGGCTACGGGCCAACTCATTGTAGGTGCGTGAAAACCATAATCCATCAGTCTTTTTGCAATATCTACGGCTTCGATGTTAGCAGTCTTCTTCAAGTCCCTTATATCTAATATAAACTCATGTGCTACTAATCCAGTATTTCCCTTGTACAATGTTTTATAATGTTTTTCCAGTCTTTTGCTCATATAATTTGCATTTAAAATAGCGACTTGCGTGGCTTTACGAAGTCCTTTTGGCCCCATCATTTTTATATAGCTCCAAGATATGGGCAAAATCGCAGACGAACCGTAAGGAGCAGCAGAGACGGTACCTAAATTTTCATTACCAGATTTTTCGTTTAACAAAGATTTCATGACTGGATGTCCCGGAAGGAATGGAGTTAAATGCTTCTTCCTAGAACAGGGAAAAGTATTTTTAGAGAATTACATAAGTACAGTGAGTATTAGAAACGTAAACTCATTTTACAGAAACTTAATTGTATGTATTACAAGACGAATCTTTTTAAGTTTGAAATTCTTATGCGTACTTACACCCCAATGGGTCCCATTCCAGGTCCTCCACCTCCATGGGGAATACAGAATGTTTTATGCAAATTGAGATGAGAAACGTCACTACCATAATCTCCAGGTCGACATAGTCCCACTTGTGCATTCATATTAGCACCGTCTAAGTATACCTGCCCACCAGCATTATGTACCATTCCGCAAACATCACTGATAGTTTCTTCAAAAACACCATTTGTCGAAGGATATGTGATCATTAAGCAAGATAGTGTCTTTTCATGCTTATCTATCATTTCCTTCAAATGTTCTATATCTACAGAACCATCTTTGCGTACGAATACTGGCTCCACTTGCATTCCTGCCATTTGGGCGGATGCTGGGTTCGTACCATGAGCCGATGTAGGGATTAAGCAAACTTGTCTGTGAGAATTCCCTTTTGACTCGTGGTAACATTGAATAGCTCTCAATCCAGCATATTCACCTTGTGCACCGCTATTCGGCTGGAAGCTTATGTTATCGTAGGCAGTGATTGCACAGAGATCCTTTTCCAATTCACTAAACAGTTGCTGATAACCTTTCGTTTGTTCGACCGGTGCAAAGGGATGAATGTCTGTAAAGCCCTGTAAACTGCATGGCATCATTTCCGTGGTAGAATTTAATTTCATTGTACAAGAACCCTGTGAATAGGAAGTATTATAATCGAGGCAGGAGATGTAAAGACCAGTTTTAATCATATTAATTTAATTAACGCTCAATTACTAGTTACGTACCAGTGGAATCATACTGTGCACAAGCGAGACATCTTTATTTTCCAAACACTTCATGTAACGCACTATTCGTGTCTCAGAATGATGGCTATTAAAAACTGGATGTTGCAAATACAAACTGGATCGTTTAAAAGAAGAATGATTTATACTCTTGGCATCTGCTGATTCAAGTTCGGCAATTTTTTCAACAGTAGTGCTTGCACCGAATAGTTGAAGAATATCGTTCACATCTTGTACAGATGTTGTCTCATCAAGGGATACTCCAATTGTTCCGTCATTGTTATACCTTGAAAAAAGACATTACTTTTTACTTCAGTCGATCATACTGAAATATTAATGTTACCACTCTGAACAATATGTTTAAATTCACTCGTCCGAATCTTCCTTGTTTCGTGTAGTTACCTTAAGTTAATCTTATGCTGATTAGCGCTCTTCTTGATACATTCCAGGGAATTCTTGGGTAGTACTGTAATTGTATCAAAGAAATATTTAGTGTTTATTTTATTTCCTTCTGCTTCCAGGCCTTTTGCAAGTATCACTGTCAGCTCGTGTACTCTAGTTGCAATGTCTTTCAATCCATGTGGACCGTGGTATACTGCATACATTGCCGACATGTTTGCTAACAATGCCTGTGCAGTACAAATGTTGCTAGTAGCTTTGTCCCTTCTTATGTGCTGTTCACGTGTCTGCAATGCAAGGCGGTAGGCATCTCGACCATTTGCATCTCTCGTCACCCCAATCATTCTTCCAGGCATTAGTCGAACTTGTTTTTGTCTGCAGGCAAAAAAGCCTGCATGAGGTCCCCCATATCCCAAGGGAACCCCAAACCGTTGACTCGTTCCGATACAAATGTCAACATCGAATTCACTAGGTGGTCGAAGTATTGTTAAAGCAAGCAAGTCTGTGGCCGCACATACCAGGGTCTGCAGATAGAAATATAGATTTCAACTTAGAATCTATTAAGGTGATATGAAAGGGTCATTCTATATATCAAAACGTCAAAATATTTATAAAACATTTCTCCAAACTGAGTGCACCGAATCATTTGAAACTTTGCCACGTGATTATGAAGGCCCTAAGGAAGAATATAATGTTCTTGAATTTTAATTTTTTAACAAAAAAATGTTTGTATTTATCCTAGATTATATCCAAGATCACATTTTTTTTTGTGAAAAATGAAATTTACGAGCATCGCATTCTTCCTTAGGGCCCTCATAATTACGGGTTGAAGTTTCAAAGGATTAGGTCCACCCCGTTTGGAGAAAAGTTTTATCAATATTTTGCCGTTATGATGAAAATATGCGAGGAACCTATATATTTCTGTTCAGTGAAATTTTTCATAATAGGTACCAAGTTACTGTGCACATTATCGTTAGTTACTCCAAAATGCTGCCGGTAAAGTAAAAGAGTTAATTGTAACATTAATTGTACAAACTTCTTGGTATCCTTTGAAACGTTTTATAGCATTACAAGGTATATTTAAATTACGCAGTATTCGTTGAATGCGCGTATTCCTTTCTCTGAAATCTTGAAGTCATGTATCCTATGAGATATCTTAATATTTTGAAATAATATATATCTCACCCCATCGCTGTGAACTCTCTTTACTAAATCTGTAAAGTCGTCAATCGACCCAGTTGTGTCTGGATATTGTATCAAAATCCCAGCTATATCTTTTTTACTTGTGTCTACCTCAAAGACGTTTCCGATTTCTAGTTCTAGACCTAAAGAAGTTGCTCTTGTTGATATAACACCTATCGTCTGAGGATGGACTTTATTAGATACAAAGAGCTTGTTTCGTTTGTTTTGTCGATGTGTAAGTGCAAGAGCTTCAGCTGCAGCTGTACTTTCATCCAAAAGGGAAGCATTAGCTATTTCCATACCAGTTAAGTCGCAAACCATCGTTTGATAATTTAACAAACCCTCCAGCCTTCCTTGAGATATCTCTGGCTGATAAGGAGTGTACTGTGTCGTCCTAAAATTTAAGAGTAAAAATTATGCGTTCACTATATTTCTATAGTTCATATAACATGCTACATATTTAAGTGAATCTTTAGTTACTAACCAACCAGGATTTTCAAAAATGTTTCGCATGATGGTGTGCGGAACACAGCAGTTATAATATCCCATTCCAATGTATGAGCGCCAGATGTTATTTTTTTCGGATATTTCTTTTACTCTTCTCATGAGCTCGAATTCGGCTGAAATAGTTATTGTGAGCGTTAGAGATCCTAGGCAATAATTAATTGACCTGATTACTGAACTTATTGCAAAATTTACAGAGGAAGATTAAGTGGAAACATGCGTGATGAAACGTGCTATGTTGGATCACGTGAATGTAGATTTCAGAATGCGCTTTGACCTATGACCCGAGATAAATATTCCATTTGTCAGATATTCAGTTATGGATGGTTTTGTTTTCATAATTCAGCTTAAGTCACGAGACTTTGGAGATCCGTATAACAGCGAACAAAAGCGTAACGTCAACATTCTTACATAATATTTTTCCAAAGTATCATATAGTTTAGAATCCCGCTTTAGTCGCATCTCTTTATGTACGTACCTTAATATACTTGTAATCATTTGATATTAGTTTTAATACTTATCTACTTGCAACATTAACATAATGTCGTTGTCGATACTTTTCTAAATCAATGTATGTGTTATTCAATATTTTTGACCGAGAAAGGGTACAAAAAATCGATCTTTAAGTTTAGCTTTTAACTCCCTTCCGTTGTATCGAATTGAAACGATTTTCTTGTACTATCTAAAGGTTATCATAGTTCATTATTATTTCTCTCGAAAGTCTCGTGAGTGGTCACGTTCATCGAGTTTTGTAATTCTCATCTGTTTGATAACGCAACCAAGGAAAATTACGACAACTTAACGCGCTACCTTTGCCTTGTATATTAGATGTTCATGAAAATAATCTTAAGAGTTTAGCTTTGCAATGATTTTGAGATATTCATTTGATCATGTGTCATATTGGCAAAATGTTTTTGAACTTACTAACGGGACTTTCAATGTCCAAATCCTTATGAAGTCGAATTTTAGCTGGAACAGCCGTTTCTGTTAACTCCTCAAGTGTCTAAAAATTGCACAATGAATTAGCTGGAATATTCCTAAAGTAAAGTGGTATTTCAATAACTTCTTAAAAAATATCTTTTATATTGAAAGCAAACGTTGAAGTGTATTACAGATAATCTATTATGCCGGAAAAAACATTTATTTACTTAGTTTAACTCACATTAATACATCAAGACTTTTATATAATCTTTATTCATCATATCAATTCCTATCATTATCAGCACTCAGCTATTCAATTTCTTTTAAATTGCACTTTTGTAGTTGGATTTATGAAATAAAGATTTCAATATTTTGAACAATTGTAGACATAGAAAATTGGAAATTTCAGCTTGTGAGAGATGTTATTCTAATCGCAATAAAAAATTGAAAATCCACAATAGTAAGTTTTAAGTATATAGATGTTACCACTTTTTTAGCGGAGATCTAGTTAGTATGTATACAAAAATATTAACAGAGGATTAAAAGAACTTACTTTAAATCCTATGCTATTTAGCATTGACTTTTGTTCATGTTCCCTAGGGCCGATGTGTCTTGCTTGGAACTCCTCTCTTTCTGAGAATAATTTTTCAAAATGCGTAACACGTACATTAGTCAATGAAAACCACCGACACACTTTTTTCTGCGACCTTTCTTGAACACGCAATAATTTTGTACATTTCGACATTTGAAAGGTGCGCTGCATTTTTTCTTCTCTTCTTTTTAAGACACTTTCAAGTTTCTTGAAACTTATAATTATTACGCGGTGTGACCCTGTTTCGAATGGTTTAAAACTAATGCGCTGCAAACGTGATCGGAGGTTTTATACTCACGTGGGGAGATATCACCAAACGATGACACAACTCTGATTACAAGTTGAACCTTCTTAACCCTATAGTTTAAATAAAATTAACTTGAGTACACCTTTTGTACAAGTTTATCATGAAATAGTTTTTATCCATTTCTTCTTTTACGATGTTGTTCCGTAATAAACTAATACGGAATAAAAATTGTATACCACAGTGTTATACGTTATGTTGTTGATATCGTACTGAAAAGTTAATGTTATATTTATAATTAATTGATAGAATATTTATTTTACGCTGGAACTAATATATCAATAATAGAGAATGATAAAGCTAAGATGGTTTAGCAATGTGCAATGTTTTTCATTGCATCGCTCTACATATACAGCAAATAATGTGCTGTCTGTGTTTTATTGACATTTTATTTGCAAGAAGCTGTTCTTCATATGCTTTCCAACAATCTTTGAGAGTTAATAGTTTAATGGGTTTTGTGAGACATTAAATGTGTTTCTTTCTTACCGTGAATAGTATTTACAGATGGGTATTAAGAAAGTTATTTGGTTCTGTTAAGAAAATCCGAAGAGTGGAAAATAATACAGAGCAGTTTAAAGACCATTTTTGTTTATTGTAGGAATAAAGTATTATCTAAGTCACTTAATGTTATTTTATATGGTTTGTTGACTTTTTTTACAATAACGGCTTGGTAAAGCAGTTTCTTATTAAACTGAGTAAATTCTGATCATTAAAAAATATTGAGAGCTTGTTGCAAAGTATATTCAAACAGAATGTAATTTGCCCATGAGCCACAATGGAATGCATAATGCATGATACTTGATACAAACAAGCTTTATTTTAATTAGAACAGTAATAAACTCTTGACTGTTTATCGTTTACTTCATATACTTGTCTTTGTGTTGTGTAAGAATTTTAGCTGAAGACTTCGCATCAAGGAAAAGCGATCCAACTTCTTCAACATCTTCCTTTTTAATTTGTGTCCTCCCGTTGATTTTTGCTGTTAAAGCAGCAGGAGTCAGAAGTTGTACTACATATCTTAATGTGGTTTTAGTGCCCAATTCTCCAAGAGTGGTAAGAGCTTCGTCTTCAATTTGTAGTCCTTCCGTAGTTGCTCTTAGCTTTACTATTTGTTCAGTCTCGGATCTAGAGTATGGTAGTGTTCTTATAATCAGTAGTCTGTCCAAAAGATCTAAAGGTATTCCATGGGGTGAAATAATATCTTCTGTACCCCTAATTATACAGCGTCCTCGATTTGTAGCAAAAATAACAATAGGGGCAATAGCACTTTCTAGGGCTCTATGAAGATATGTAAATGTCTCAATATCAAGCATGTGAACTTCGTCTATGAATAGAACTCCAGGCACTAACTCGGCAATACCTTGATCAATATACTTGTTGACAACTTTATTGATTTCCTTCCTCAATTTATCTGTGAAAAAAAAAGGAGCACTTAATAATTATAATGTAAAGGTAATCACAGCTTAGATTATAGATCTATCTTAGATAAAATAGCATTTTATTTCCTAATGTATGTTCGACAGAAATAATTTTCTTATTCCAAATACATGTAATAGAGAAATAGGGAAATAATGTAAGGCAATAAGTACCTGTGATTTCGGTTTTCTTTGGTTTCATAAGTTGACCCATCATTGACATTATATCTTGTCCTCCTTGTGGTTTAGCATTTGCAACATCTAAGTCATGTAATGTTACATCTTGTATTACTTCCTTTTTTTTGTGCACATCACCTTTTGGTAAAGGAACGTATTCTTCCGCTTCTAAGTCAAACTCTGTCGCGAAGTTATCACTTCTGCCTTGTCTTTTCACTGCTCCACTATTTGCTTCAATATAAATTACATCTCCTGTCTCAACTTTTTCCTTTTGTAGAGATTCGTATATCAGGGGATCTAATTTTAATTGTTTAGTGCCTTTTGCAGTCTTTAATCCAATTACAACATGCGACACTGTTTTTCCATATCCACCCATTGGGTTTTCCGTTTCTACAGGTGACAATTCTGTAACTTCACCCTCATAAACTTCTTTTGTTTCTTTGATTCTTAGACCTATAGCTCTTCTGAAATTTTCCATTAGAACTTCTGTTTTTTTAATTTCCGAGCTATAAACTTCAGAACCCACCATTGGGCAAAAAGGTACCTTGTTACCTAACTCTTGAGCAATTGCAAGAGCGATTGCAGTTTTTCCAGTACCTGGTGGCCCCGCTAATAATACCGCACGGCCTGCCATCTTCTTTGATTTTATCATATCAACGACGATACCAGCAGCCTGTAATAGTAAAAAAAAATATTTAGTATCTATTGCCAAATACTTTATATATGTGCACATTTATTGTCAATACCGAGTTAATTTATTCTATAAGCTATAATTAATTTAATTTTTAGAATCCATCTTTCAGCCCTTATTACTGACCGAATAGTAGATAAAGAAACAAATCATGAGTACATTCTATGAAAAAAATACACAACGTTCATGCCAAGATATTTTCATTTTATTGAATTTTATTTATAGTGAGATCAGCGCAATTTTCTAACCTCTCGTGCCATTTCTTGACCCACGAGACCGGCTGCCATTTGAATAGCTGTACCATTTTCGTCAAGGCCTAAACCTTTGATGTGCGTATGGGCGGAGATTCTTTGAGTTTTTGCTGTGCTTTTCACTTCTTCGATCTTCATGACGAAGAAAATATACTAATTAAATACCTGTACTTAGCAAACAGACCTGCTATCGCGCGGATTGTTTGATTCGATTTCTCCTACCATTGCCCGTTGTTATGTCACGTGACTACGAGTCGATATTTTATTAGCGCTACAGCACAAGCGACGGCGCATTAAGCGTGAATAAGAGGTTCTGATTGGCTGCAGAGAAAGGCCGATATTCGTTTGTGCAACAGCGCAGTGTTGCCAACACAAAGTCCGTAAAATTCCTTAGCTTATATATATATATAGACTTTGCATTGGACCTCCCACTCCTAGATTTTCAGTAAACAGAATGGCTTTAACTGTGTGGGTGAGTCGTTGGGACACGTGGTTCCACGGAAATATATAGTAAACTGGACGCTTACCAGCGGGTTCGGCTCAAGCTGCCTTGAAGTCATTCCCACTACTAGGTGTATGTTATACAGTCCTATTACACATTTTTTTTTCATTAGGTTTGTTGCGTTGACTGTACTTTTCTTGAAATGTGTACACTTTTCGTATAAGTGTAGAAAATGTAGGCAAAACGAACAAACCTAATTACGGAGTATGTACGTTAGTCGCACGCACCAACTACCAGGGGGCAGCACAGGACGATCTCGCGACCCTGCTCGTGAGCAATCTCCCAACTCATCCCTGGTATGAATGGGGTGGATTGGAGGAGTGGCGAAGAAATCTGTGTATGTGTGAAATAGTGAGTTTGTGAGGCGTAGTCGGGCTGTTCGTTTCTTCGCATTAATGAGACTTTATTTCATAAAAACCATTTTTTAAAGGATTATCATACATCTCTACACTGCTCGCCAAAGCTTGCATTTACGAGACAGTGGTTACATCGAGGAAGAAGGAGAATGGCTGAAGGAAAGCTGGAATTTGTGAGTGATGGTTGCCCAGTTGGAACAGTTTGAATCTTAACCTTAAATTTTTTTTGCGATGTTGCTTACGTGTTCGCTTTGTCGTTCAGATGTATACCTTTTGAGAATTATCCGACGCTTCTTTTTTACTAATTTTTGAGGAATTATTTAAAAGCTAAAGAGTTTTTGTATTGTTTATAGACAAATGAGGATCAATATATTACTAAAGTATTGATTTGTAGATATACGCGGGGAAAATGAATATTGGCGTCCCTTTAACGAACTTCGTGGCTGAAAGTTATTATCTACGTAACTTTGGTCCTGTTGTTTGTACTCTCTGTATGTTTTAAAAAGTGTAAATTATAATTGAACTGATTAGAATGTTCTTTTGACATTCATGCAATGACTGCAAGTTATGTGATTACATTTGTAACAAAGAATTTTGAATAGCTATTTTTGAAACACTTCGGATACTCAAAGCGTTATGAAGATGTACTTAGATTCTGCTATTACTTACTTTTGAGAACTGTAAAAATTGATGCGAATATACTCATAGGTAATGTTAATGTTTGATAGTGTACTAATTACATATTGTTATCAAGGATTGGGGGAACGAAAAGTTGCAGAGGGCACAGAAATCAGTTGAAGACTCATCGTATGATCTCGAGGCATGGAGCGTCCTGATCAGAGAAGCACAGAATAGACCAATCACTGAAGTACGGCCAGTTTTTGAGAAACTTGTTACAGTATTTCCTTCTGCTGGTCGGTACTGGAAGATTTATATTGAGCAAGAGGTAAGCAGTTGTATCGAGTATGCATAAGATGCATAAATATGATAATGGCTTAGAATATTAAATAAAATGTAACGAGTGAAATGTTACTAAAATTTACTAAGACCGTTTTTAAATTAATGTGTAGATATAGATATTTTTTGTTTTTAATAAATTGTTGGAACTGCAAATACCTAACTGTTATATTTGCCTTGGATTATATTATAAGATGATCATTTATATTTAAATCTTGAAATTAACTTGTGAGCCATATACCTCATTAGATGAAATGAATGTGTCATATGCTTTTTTTTTTGTTTCAGATGAAGATGCGGAACTTTGAAAAAGTGGAAAAGGTATGTTAATATTAAATGTCTTAGGTATTATTCCTTGCCAGAATTATTTACACCTTGATAATCTTGTGTTGTTCACAAAGTTGAGTAGTTCAGCTAAACAATATGGTGTCAAAAATTCAATTTGCTGTAAAGTAAACTTTTTATGCCTCTTATGTTTTTATGATTCATTTTGAATCTGACATTAACAATTTCATAACATTGAAGGACAAGGATAACATCTGTGAATATAATTCTAATTGTTACGATTAGTTTTTTTTCTTTGAATTCATATAGTATGTTGTATAAAGTTATAACTTATTTAACTGAATAACTCCGAGAGGAAAATATATATTCCATTTAGTCTACAGTGTTATTACTATATTTGGGTACCACTAACTTTTAATACTCAGGTATTACCGTGTTAATGCGACATGGAGCACTTTTCATACAATGTGAAGTGAATAAAAAAAACTTTACTTCACCATCAGCCACTTATTTCATTGATTAATTACTGCTGTCTTGAAGCTTTTGGGAGGTTGTTTTCTTTGGTTCCTGCTTAATTGAATTCGAAATGGGTATTTAGTGAATACGTAGAAATCATATAGGAGAAATAATACCAAAGAAGATAACTTCCTGAATGTAACAGCCTTGTATTCCTTCCTGCAACGCATCGATTGGTTGCGACTGGATTTCACGGTAAACGGCGATGTAAAAAATACGTACAATGGAAGTTTCATAAAGCATTTAATACAAGAATTTTCTTGCAGTGTACTCAAACTATGAAATGCTCCTAATTAATAATTAATACTTTGCTTTGTATATATGTATCTGGGTTAGTGATGTGTAAAAAATGTGATCAGATCTAAAAGTTTTCAAAATCGCCTCAACGATGTTCAGTAATGTTCCAAGCAATTTATTCGAAAAATGATTCCTTTTTATATCAAGATAATTAAAAGTAGTCATCGGTGCTATTTCCAGGTTGTCTATCATAAGTAATTTTAAACACCTTTCCCCAGCATGTATATTTGAGGAAATAGTGATATTAATCCTCAAGTACTCATGCAAGAATACACAGAGGTAGTATAAGGTGATACTTATTCCGTAGCATTTGTAATAGTTATATTCAATAAACTTAGTTCAATTTACTATTTTTAATGTACATTTCGTAAATACTCGGATCTACTGTTCGTTGCTTAAACATGAGTAAAATGAGTAAAAATGGTAATAAAAATTAATACAAAATTTTTGTTTCATCCACTATGAAAGATGATTACAGTAACAGTCTGCTACAATCTGAAACCATTATATGTTTTTTAATTAAATGAATTTTTTTGTAGACTAGCAAAAAGAATATATAATAATGAATATTAAGAGATACAAGCACATGGCCAAAAAAGGAGTTATTAATTTAAAAATATAAACATTTTTGTATAATAACTATGCCCGCATTTTATAACGTCTAATACTTTAATGCAGGGCGTATTTAAAAAGATTTTGTATTTATATAAATAATTAAGTCGATTGAGTTTTTTTTATCACTTTATGCTGCCTCGCCTTGTCTTGATTTTTCTCACGTTTTGGGATCACTAATTTCCAGATCCCACATAGGTGTATCGTCTTACAGTTTGCCCCACTTGTAGTAAATAAATAAATTTTTTATTTTGTGGGGTTCACATTACGTTGTTTAGCTGCTTTGTACTTTACCTTTTCTTTACGATAAAAAATCTTACCTGGTATTAGACATGAATGCAATAAATATCTATGTTTTATACAATAAACCATTTACAATTGATGCATTGCTGCATTATTATTTATCCCAAAGTTGAACAGATGCACGGTGTTTTAAAAAGTTATCGTTCTTTCGTATACCCTCGTGGTTTTTTCAAAAACGATCATATACGTTTTAACATAAAACTTGCCTTCGTGGGTAAGTAAGGCAGTCTCAATGTGTTTCGATGCAGGCTTGGCACTGTACAGGATTTTTCTTGTCCGATTATGTATCTAATGATTTCCAGACACAGTGATATAGCATTGCGTAATATTGTTTCTCTAACAGCTTTTCCAAAGGTGCCTCATGAAAATCTTAAACATTGAATTGTGGAAACTGTACCTCTCTTACGTCAAAGAAACGAAAGCAAGTCTCGCTACTTATAAGTAAGTACTCTATAAATTTCTGTAACTACTATATTGAATGTATTCAATTGGAACAGATTTAAATAGAATAGTCGATAAATACTGAATGACTTTTCAGAGAGAAAATGGCACAGGCGTACGACTTCGCTTTGGATAAAATTGGGATGGACATACATTCGTATAGTATTTGGAATGATTATGTCATGTTCTTGAAAAGTGTCGAGGCTGTCGGTTCCTATGCAGAGAATCAAAAGATTAGCGCTGTACGCAAGGTAATAGAAAAATGGAGCATTACTAATTTCTTTTTCTCATTCCTTTTAAACTCAACAATTAGTCTAATCGACAGTGTTAATACAGTATATATTTCTTTATCTTGAAAATAAAGTACTTAATTTTAATATATTAGGGTACGATGAAGTTTACTTTTTAATAAATAATATCTCTAGATTTAATTCAACTGTTAATATTAATTGTATTATTTTGATATATATGCCCATGTTATATATGATATTACAGGTATACCAACGCGGGGTTATTAATCCGATGATAAATATGGAGCAACTGTGGAAAGATTACATGGCATTTGAACAAAATATTAACCCGATAATTGCAGAGAAGATGGCAATTGAACGATCTAGGGACTACATGAATGCACGCCGTGTCGCTAAAGAATTGGAAGCTGTAACGAGAGGTTTGAACCGAAGTGCCCCAAGCGTTCCTCCCACGGGACATCCTGAAGAAGTGAAGCAGGTATATTGTGTTCGTAAGAAGAAAATTTCTACATTTCTAATGTAATACTCGGAATAGTTAAGGATGCATGCCACTGAATGTCTTTGAATTTGAAGTGCTTTTCAGTTGATGTACCAATGTCTGTATATAACAACAGGCACGAATGGTCTGGAAATAATGCCAAGTTAACTATTTCTTCGATTATATTTTCAACTGTAGTAATAAGATTTTTGTATTCAATTTAGGTGGAACTATGGAAGAAGTATATTGCATGGGAAAGAGGGAATCCACTACGCACCGAAGATACGTCGCTTGTAGCGCGTCGTGTGATGTTTGCTATTGAACAATGTTTATTGTGTTTGGGACATCATCCTGCAGTATGGCATCAGGCCGCACACTTTCTAGAACTGAGCTCGAAAATTTTAACCGAAAAGGGAGACGTCAATGCTGCCAAAAATTTAAGCGACGAGGCTGCCACTATGTTTGAAAGGGCAACAAATACATTATTGTCAAAGAATATGCTCTTGTACTTCGCACATGCTGACTTTGAGGAGGGTCGGGTCAAGTACGAGAAGGTTCATCAGATTTATCAGAAATTTCTTGATATTCCTGATATCGATCCTACTCTGGTTCGTACGAAATATTAATTAAACACTATACTAAAGGATTAGTATTCCCTTGAGCTAACGGAGCTATCTATTTAGTAATGGTTCTTCTATTTACAGGCATATGTACAATATATGAAATTTGCAAGACGAGCCGAAGGGATAAAGTCTGCAAGAACTGTTTTCAAAAGAGCACGAGAGGATTCCAGATGTAGGCATCATGTTTATGTAGCCGCTGCATTAATGGAATATTACTGTACCAAAGACAAAAATATAGCATTTCGAATTTTTGAACTGGGATTGAAAAAGTTTGCAGATAACCCGGATTACATTCTTTGTTATATAGATTATCTATCGCATTTAAATGGTAAACATACTTTAAATCTTCAGTTCGATGCACTTTAATTAGTCCGTATCATTTTCAAACGTTTAACATTTAAATACTTCTGTTTATAGAAGATAATAATACGAGAGTATTATTCGAACGTGTCTTATCGTCGGGTAGTTTGGAGCCAGAAAAATCAGTGTAAGCGTGTGCATGAGATTTTCAATAACGTTCAATACAAAAATCACGACATGGTAACCGATATCGCGGTCCTTATTTATTAAATTAAATTTGACACATATTTTAATAATCAATTTCCTATTTCCAGAGATATCTGGAATCGCTTCCTGGAGTTTGAATCAAACATTGGTGACTTAGCCAGTATAGTTAAAGTCGAGAAACGACGTAGCGCTGTATTAGAGAAGGTATACAATTATCAATTTTATTAAGAAATAAATGCAATTATTAATTTTAATAAGAAGTAAAAGATCCAATGAAGTTCAATATACTTGTTTTTTGGAATTTATTTAAAAATTAACATTATCTTTTAGATAAAAGAATTTGAAGGAAAAGAGACCGCCCAGTTAGTGGATAGGTACAAATTTCTGGATCTTTATCCTTGTACAGCAATGGAGTTGAGGTCAATTGGATATATGGAAGTTGCCAGCGTGGTAAGAAACACTGCCGCATTACCTCGTGCTCCCGATCCAGAAGAAGCTATGGCATCGTTACCAAGACCAGATTTATCGCAAATGATCCCTTATAAACCTAAAGTCAATGCATTACCTGGAGAACATCCAGTGCAAGGTACTGTTTCAGACTGTAAAACAATAAGGACATGTAACAACCTAACTAAAGCATATTCATACAGTTACGCTTTAAATTATTTTTGATTAATTCTTTTATAAACTGCACAGGAGGAACATTCCCTTTACCGCCAGCCGCTGCACAATTGTGCACTATACTTCCTCCACCTGGCTGCTTCCGAGGTCCATTCGTTGCCGTTGACCTGCTAATGGATGTTTTTAGCAGAATTCAATTACCAGATCACGGTAACATTTTTATTCTTCTATTGGGCGCAGTTTAATTTAATACTTGAAAGATGTAATAGCCGTAATGCTACGTTCACATTGCAGCCCCATTGCCTATTGCGGATAATGGTTGTGATACAAAACTGTTTGACCTAGCTAAGTCCGTTCACTGGATAGTCGACGAAACCAACGATGGCACGAGTATCAGTTCTAAACGTAGAAGGACTCGGTTAGGTGGAGATGACAGCGAGGAGGAAGATCTTCCGCCGCCTCCTGCCAATGATATTTATCGACAGAGACAGCAGAAACGAGTAAAGTGAAAACTCTGCTCAGACATTACGAATCTATCATTATTTCTGAACTACGGAAATTGTTAAGTTCAAGAGAATGACAAGGATTGCCTTTAATGGCAATGTGCAAACGTCATATAGTCATATTTTCGTATGCTTTATGTTTTCTCGTTGAGAAATGGCGAAACACATAGTATATGCGAAGTCATAGATTGTATTGACTTCTACTATAAGTGTGTAGTATATTATTTGCAATGATAAGTGAAATCAGGAGGGTGTTGTATAACATTTTGGGTACCGTGTACTCAGACTCATTACGTCCGTTCGATGTAGGACTCACAGATTAATTACTAACAACCACACACGACCTTACACAATCAAGTGAACCGTTCGGCATGATTTTAACTTATTCTTGCGTGAACGTGCACAGACTATTCAACGGAATTTATAACGTAATTGTCGAAAGGTTACTGTGCTTATATTCCGAGACACGCAATCAATTAGCTGCGGCTGCTCGTGTCTGATATACAAAAGGAAAAGTTGATGATTTTCACTTCTTTTTTGTGTATGTACATATAGTACCATGGTTATACCATTTGTAATTCGGAAGGAGAATGATCGATGCGTTTATAAACATCTACTCATATAGACGTAAGCAAAATGAAATGTATTAAAACCCGAAAGAAGCCATTACGTCAATTAACTTGAAACGTAATGCTGCATCGATGAATAAATCACTCGTCCCGGATTTATAGTTTAGTATGCCCTTTATTAATCGCCCAGATTGAGATTCTACACGTTGTGTAGGATTAGGGTGAGCATACTTAAGTATAAAAAAAAAATTATTGCGTTACCGACCCGTAATGTTAATTTCCTCTTTTATACAACGTCGAATATTAATGTAATGATGGGACAGCTTTTTTTTTTTTTTTTTCTAGAGCATCGATTAGTCCTATTATACTACTACTCTATCTGTACGTGAAAATTGTTATGAAGTTTTTCTTAAAACGAATAAAAGAAGCAGAAAAATTGCTACGTTTTTATTGCAAGTATTTGAGGTTTTAGAATTTAATGGTGGAAAACGGGTTAACAAGAGTATGTGTCAGAATCATTAATTAGTAACTTGTGAAAATAATTATCACATAAAGGAACACACGATTTAAATCGAAGAAGTACTGAAAAATAGTCTGGCCGGTTGAGGATGAAATGAATGTACAATGAAATATAATTTCTTGAGAAAATGAAGTAGGCCGTTTCTATTCTTCTGCGAACAAGATTTAGATCAGCTTGCGCAGTCCGGGAGACGAACTGCGGCAATTTCTAGGCATTGGATTTGTTCAAAATAATTCGGAAACAATGACAGAGGATTCATCAATATTCTTACTGCCCGGAATTTCTCGTACTCGGCAACATCAGGCGCGCGCGTGCACGTGAGTCGACTGTAAAGCACGGAAAGAAGAGAAACGTCGGGCAAGGAGAAATGCAATTTTTCTGCTCCTCGAGCACCCTTCAGGAATCTTTCCTTGAGTACCTATTTAACATGCTAATGAGGAATGTAAGGAACAGATGTACGTAAACACTCACGTAAGATACGCTAATGTCTCTGATACCCGGGGTAACATATGTTGTCATTCGAGTTTCCTTACTTTCCTTTAAAAAGACTGCACCCTTCGTTAAAAAATCCACCATTTACAAGATCTTAACGCAGTAATTATATTGCTGGTTCATGGACTCATGCATTCATAATATTAAATTACCAATTTCATAAGATATTGTTACATTTGATTCTATTTAGATTTCTGACGGCTAAGCTATTCATATAAAGGTCTAGAAATAGAAACGCGTGTAGGAAACCTGATAAGAATATTAATTGTCAGCTTGTTGCTCTAACATTTATGTAGTAATTTAATTTTAACGCGTTAGCCGTTACTGACTGAAAAGTCAATGTTAATATTTTACATATTGGTTTATGGTGACATATGTATAAGATAATATTTCATAAGACGTGTTGATGTTAGAATTTTCAGAGTATAACAGGTGGATTTAGTCAATGCTTAGACTAATGTTGGGGTATGTGAATATTAACTATTCGAAGACATGTATGTAATTGTATTTAGAGGGGTCACGAAATTATCTCGTGCGAGTCTTCAGCAGTGGTTCTCTGTGCAGAGTAGTAGGGGAATGCCGGTAGCCAGAACCACTCGATAAGGGTGCAATTAAACTTTGATTACCGCCAATTCGTGGTTTGAGAGGTTGGTAATAGTTCCTCAGTTTCGGGTTAATGGTAAGTCAGTCTACCGACTTCCAAAGCAGTTAAGTTAAAGTCGTTACAGGACATTCCCTGTGTCCAGTGAATCGTTATGGTCATCAGATATCCAAAATTTGTCTGCGATATCGCAGTTTTGATGTTGAAAATTATTGGTCTTCTCTAATGATTGATAAGATTAAGAACGATCGAATCTGAAGAGTCACAAATCATTTGTACTTCTTTCTTTTAAGGGGATGTGAGAGTGACATCCGAAAGCTCTATCGTTCATAAAACTTTTCTACGAACTGAGTGTCTCAAATCTTTTCATACTTTAAAACGTGAATATGGAGACCCTAAGGTAGGTCTTGAAACTCGCGAAATTTCATTTTTTATAAACTAATTTTAAAATACCTATAAACAAATTTGAAAAGAATGGAAATTTCATGAGTTTCAGGACCTTCTTTATGATCTTCCTATTCACGTTGTAAAGTTTCAAACTATTCGGTAAACCGAGTTGGGAGAAAAGTTTTACAAACAAAACCTCTTCGACGCCACTTTCATATCACCTTAAAAGCAGATTATTGGCTCTGTCTTATAGTGCCTTATAAATAGACTGTTTCTATCGGCATTGTAATTGCTGCCACGATTCTATCCATTCTCCAAACACTTACAAAAAAATATGATATTGAATATGACGATGAAAAATACTGATATTATTTTCAATGTTTCTAATCGAAAGGTTAGCATTGTTTAATAATTCGTCGAGTGATGTTACACTTATCAACTCGTACACATCCTATTTCGGAGTCCTTAAATTGATTTAACTGGAGCACTGCACGAGCCTTATAGTTTCGCGACTTTATTCCGGTTTAAAATATAAAAAATACTGAAATTATTTTCAGTGTTTTAATCGAACGGTTAGTATTATTCAGCAACTTGTAGATCAACGTAGCACTTACTAGCTCATTCTGTTTAGGAGTCCTTGAATCAGGAAACTCGGTAGAGTTTCGGGCCAAGTACACACCTTTGCATACGTATATATACGTACGCGCGAAGCCATGTGTATGCGTGAAACACCACAGAGTCTTTAATGCCAAGTTTGGATGTGATAAATTCCTAAGAATTAATATTCCGTATTTAAGAATTCCTCGTGGATCAAGACGAAGATATAGGTAAATAGAAATGGTTTTCGCAGTTATTCTAATTTTTCAGATTTATCGAAGTCATTTTTATCGTATAATAACATTTTAAACCTTCTTAAGGTCAGGTTTTGCTCACTCAGCCCGCAGTACCGCACAAGTGATGTACCACATTCCACGTTCCGACCTTAACCTGGTGAAAAGTCACATCCATGGGAGGTAATTTGAAATTCATATGCAGCCTTGATAGGAGAGCGCGAACTTGGGCTTATCAGGGTTGCTCTATCTCGTCCGATAGTCGTGAAATTAAGTGGCCTGAGAAGTCCGGAACGTAGGGAAACTCCATTATCCCGGCATAAATCCGTAGGTGGCTGGCACGTGACCGTGGCATACTTGCGCCCCATCCGTCTTGGGAGTTTTGCATTTGTAGCCCGATGAATCCCCGAACAGAGCCCCGGACCATTCTCAAACCATCCCCGGATGTCCGGATGCACCCGGAGGCTATACCCAAGTGCACGGTGCACGCCCTGCACTTGCGCACCTAGAGCCACCGGCTCGATTTCGCTCTGACTAATTACACCGCCTCGTCCATCATACCTCAGGAAACGGACTTGGGAAGATCCTTGGCGTAATGAGTTCCTCTACACCACCTAAACTAGCAATCCATTCAATAAGATCATTATTTCAAAATGTCTCACGTTCGTGTCTTCCTCAATTTTCGCTTCAAATGGTTCAAAGTGTTCTAATGGACCCGCAGTAATAATATGTGAAGATAATAGTACTACTGAAAAATATTGATGTGATTGAACTTTAGGTAATTAATTTCTTGTAATCCAATCTTGTTTCCAAGTCGAGGGAAAACTGACCTCACGCGAAATTTGCAAATATTAATCTTGTGAAATTATATATCTTTTTAATCAATTAACATGTTTGTAAATTCGCCTCTTATGTATAAATACCTTTCGTACTTTTCATTAATGTTATCTCATCGTGTCTTTACTAATTTTATTTAGTTACTAGTGACTTGACCAAATAACTTCCCAGTAAACACGTAATGTAACAGTTATGTAACTTCCGAGTTGCGAAAAAACGTAATGTTGGTATATAACAGTGACGTAATGGTGATATGTTGTTGCAGCAACAGTAATGTACAAATGTGGCCCAACATTGTGCTTAGACAAAATATAAATTGTGCATAACATCTCCGTAACAAGATATGTGTCACATTTGTTACTGAGATATTATTAATATGTGTATTATGCGTTACGGATGTAATATATAATTTGGGGCGAGGATTTTTTATACTGCAAATGACAGATCTATTCCGTAATAAGGAATTTAATTGTTACGTAAACGTTATGGCATGTTACATAATTTTTACGTGAATTTGTCTGTGTCCTGAGACTTCCTGGAATGAAGAATAATGTATCACCGGTAGTGACGGTATTTTGACAATGTATTATTTTGTGTTATGTACTTACTGCGCCAATGTTATCGATCTGTATTAGTTGGGTTAACCGATTAGCTATTATTTTCATTTCATAGTGAAAAACAGGTGGTTCCGAGATCACTGATATAGCATGTATGTTGTCAAGAGTTAGTAATGTATTAGTTTTATCAATTATTCTATTTCTTTTTTCTTTTAAATGGCACTAATGCCTTTTGCACATGACCGGCAAAACCGGTGTCGGTTTTTTCTTTCTACGGTAATAATGTAAGTAATTGAGAGTTACATTGTTCTTGGCAGAAAGTTGGTGTCGGCGCCGATTTTGCCATTACGTGTGCAAACGGCCTTAAGGTGAAGTGAAACCCCCTTCAAATCAGTCGATTCGAATACAACACTTTTTTTTAAGTGTATTAGACTAAACTGTCCAAAACATTGACACATCGCTCCTGATCATCTAAGAATTGTCCTGACACATTCAAATTTTGGATTTTTGGAAAAAATTTTTTAACTTAGCCCACATTAGAACCAAAATAGCGTCGAGATCTCATATTTCGATCGATATACAATTATCGAAGGCTCTGATATGAAAAACGAAAGGGTCAGAACAATTTTACGATAATTTAGAACACTCAGGTAATTGATAAACTCGCATTTGAACGGGGTAAAGGCAAAAAAAGTGTTGTATGCGCTTCTATGCTAAAACGATGGGAATACGAGGTCTCGGAGTGAAAATTTAATTGACCTGGAAATCACAGATGGCGTAGGGGGTCCCTCTGCAGTCAATTAGGGCCCCAGAAAGCATGAATTCAGAGGATTTCTGGAGTTTTACTTCGATTTCTTGATATTTATTGTACGATAACGACAAGTGGAGTATGTCATTTGGTACAATATCCAATATAATTCGACACAGCTGTCAATATAAAAACAACTTCTGCAACGTAGGCATTTAGAAAAATCTTCTTCATCGACGTCGATCAAGTTTCTCGACGTGATTCACTTCACCTTAAGGGCTGCTGGCGGTCAAAATTGCGGAATATTTTGTATTCAATTATTCGGTATCATAAGTTCGTGGCTAGAACTTTTGGGGAATCTTTTTGAGTACTTGAAACGATGTTCACTGACCTAGGTAGTCAGGAGCTCCGGGCTTCGTGACGTTATAAGTACTATTCCGTTTCTTC